GGCATATAGCCTTAGAGGGAAGACCAGGAATTATCCACTCTCTCAATCCCAGCTCAGCCTGTGACTAAATGCCCCAGTTGTAAACCCAGACACAATGAGCAAAGAACGGTATTCCCATATGATTTCTTTTTTTAAATCAGCGAAGCAGAAAATACAAGACGACTGCATGAAAAAAATTTAAATGATGCATTAAAAGGCTGCGTTCACTTCACACAGCAGCTTGGAAAAACTGAAATGGATGCAGTTCCTGTAAAGAAATAAATATAATTTGCTTTTAACTGAAATGAATGATTGCAGGTAGTAACTATAGTAACTGAGCTCTCGGGGAGAAAAAGTGCGAAGAAACTCTGCAAGCTATTGGCAAGCCAAGACAGTGTCACATAAAAACAGTGCAGACTGTCAGAATCCTTCCAACATGTGAGATTATTTACTTTTTCTTCAGTGAAGATTTACATCGACTCAGGAACCATAATAAGCCTGTCCGCAGATGCTGGAACAGCTATCTGACAAACGGCAAAGAAAATATGGAACAAGTGTAGTCAGTCAATGCCATTCTCATTCTCAAGAGCAGAACAGGAATTTAACCATTTAATCCCTTGACATGGATAGGATTGGCTAAATAGAAAGAAAAAGACTCGACAGATTAATGCCAAATCAGAAAAGCTCAGGGCGAGATTTGATCCCCTTTATTGATTTCCTTTTTCCTTACTTTGCTGATTCTGCGATTTGAGTTGAAACAGAGAAGAATTTCAAGGATTTAAAGCATACAATTGCGGCTGCAGCTTGCTGATAAACGTGTTTTCCATCCTGATCCACCACGGTGACGGTCGGGAGTGAAGAAAGTGAGGGAGCAGGCGAGGACACCTATCAGACACTATACACCAAAATAACAACCAAATGAAAACACTGCATATGATACTGAACTGCATGTTCTGACAAAACAGGTAACCTTAGACAGCCGGTGTCTGGGACAAACATTACTTGTGATATTAGACTAAACTTCCCCTAAAATAGCTTCATTCAGTGATGAGGGATCAGATCCAAACTATTCCATCATCACAGAGACAAGCAGGAGAGCTGTAAGCTCCTCAGTCAAGGCCTGGAGAGATTCATTTATTCCTCGTTGTGACTGAAATCCTGCATATAAACTAAAGGCTCCAAATAATCTGAGAGGTAAACTTAATTTAACATACATTCAGTCTTTAATACTATTTGTGCAGTCTTCCACACGCAGGGAACACTCCATTTTGTCATAACCTTTCCATTATTTAGGTTCAGTACTTATCGCCATGTTTTATTCATCTATTTTGTGATACGCAGCCTTTATGCAGAGACCACAGGGGCTGGAAATGTGCATCAGGAACTGACAAAGAAAGCTGAGAATATGCCTCTTGGATCAACTGCTATGGTGTACGGACCCAAACTTTGTTAATTCAAATATTTTGCCAAAGAAAAGAAAAATCTCTTGTTTGAGAGCAGCTCCTGAAATTAATGAGGGCCCCTCTCCATTTCCAGAATCATAGCAGGCAAAAAAGACATTTCACGCAGTGTTTCGAGAAGGATTTGCTAAAGAGCTGACAGGAGGACCACAATGAGCTAAATGCTCAAAGAGATGAAGTTTGAGTGGCCAAGTGCCTCCATTAGTTCCTATGGCAAAAAGTGAAGCTTAATCTCCTGTCAGCTCCCCTCAAGCTACTCTCCCAGGACTCGGAGCTCTCTCTCCCATCCATCACCTCAGCGGGGACCAAAGGGAGACTCCCCAAAGGAATGAGGATCAGAGCAATTTGCATTCACGCTCAAACCATCAAGGCCCAACAATCCCACAGTGAGGCTCTCCATTTCACTATATCACAACTGTCATCCCGGTGAAATGCAAAAAGCCTCGGAGTAGAAATTACAGTTTTCTTCAAAAGAGAGAAGGAAATTAGCAAAGTCAAAGTGCTAATTACACTGCTCCAAAGGGGCAGCAGTATTTGTTCCATGACTCATCTAAGGAAGCATGTTCATGCCTGTTTTAGTGTTCAACATCAAACACCAACCTATTCAATATCAACATGCCTGCAATTGTCCTCAGCCGCCCCCCCGACTGTTCAATCAATCAATCAGTCAATCCAGCTGAAGTACGTGACATTTCATACACAAAGGTAGACTTCAGTGTTCTTCCAATGAGTCTGAAAAACAAATACACACTGAGCAGCACAGCATGTGACCATTTGTCATCAGTCAAAATGAACTTTAGTGCGTCAGGCTTCGGTGACAAGCTTGCGCATAGAAATCAGGATGTACAATTAACCCTAAAGAGTCCCAACAATAAAGCCGTCCATCAAAACTAAGCAGGAAATATCACCCATGGTTTGCATCTCTCCTGGGATGTCACATGAGTATTTAACAGCAGATAAACACAGTTAAAGGGCAGAAACTAATACAGCTGGGTTGTGATATTAGTATAAAAGCTTATACCAGGAAAAGCTCAATGACAGACTGCGTAACATGACTGACAGAACTGAACAACGGGGGTCTCCAGCAGAATGCTTCTAGCCTGTACGCTGCCAAGTTATTACAAAGATTACAATTCACAGCGACACAATTTCCCATCCTGAATAATAGTACATTCAAAGTTGATGCTTGTCCGCTATTCAGCATTCATTTCCCAAATGTTTAATCCAACTAAGATGAGGAATTAGAGCTGGAAAATCTCCTTATCCCACCGCTGAGAGTGATATCTATATGGGCTCGCACAGCACCAGGACCCGAGGATGGAGCCAAGCCATAAACAACCACCTGGTTGCTAACTCAATTCACACTCAATTAAATATCAGTCTGGAATACTGGAGAGACCAAGTGCTAATATAAGAAAGCAGGAACAGAGCTGCTGTTATGCTGTTATTATTCACAGAGATCCATTATTCTCAATGTTCCTTTTTGATAATCTATTTGGCGAGCAGCTCGGAATATTTTCTGTTTATGAATTTGGCACTCTTGTGTTTTCTACAAATGGTTATTACAATGACAAGCACAAATGGCTTTCCCTAATGGATAACTGCAACAGGGTTTGCTGCTGCTTGCATTTGTTAGGGCCATTCCTCCCCACTTGTTTGTGCATGGCTAATGAGGGAAGAGTCTGGAACATGTTGTATATCAATTAGGCCATCAAAGACCGTGGGCATTTATGGCAACGCCCTTTAACCTCAGGGTGAAAGACCAGATTCTTGTTTTTGCATGTCAAAAGAAATGAGTCCAAACAACAGCTGAAAAAAAACATTTCCAAGACATTTCCTGCCTTTCACGGAGATGTCTGAAAGCATGAATTATACAGTCACTTTGGTTTTAAGTAAACTACAGCGGTTCAAAAATGAAACAGGGGCAAAGTGCATTCGTATGACGTCTAGTTAGTCTTAAAAAAAACCTCCTGCTTCACTCAAATGAGATATGTCCAAGACGCTTTAAGCGCAATTTTTCGAGACATTTTCCACTCACTTGACTGAACAGCTTCAAAAGATTTCCCCTGTGAATCCCAAGGGAACCAGTTAATCCTGATCTTCTCCACAAGCAAAGGGATCATCTCAATGTAAATCAGACAGGGCTTTTGATCAAAGTATTCAATCAGACTTAAACACATGACGCCACAAGGAGCCTCAATCGCGAACAAGGTCAACATCTCGGTTGTTCTCCACCTCGAGGAAGGTGGAAAACAACAAAAACAGCCCAGTGTAAGTAAATATTCGCCTGGAATACAGTTTTTTTTTATTTATTCGAGCGCCAAAACACCCCATTAAGCAAACATGTACATGCTGCAGTCTGTCAGAGAAAAGGAGGATGAGATCAGTGCCGCTCAAAACACGATCTGACATTTCTTGACCACACTTGACCCTCGTCCATTCCTGTCTTAAAATAGGGGCGCCAGACGGAATTTACTTCTCCAAGATGTAAACAAACCAGTAAACTTCTAGCTAAGCCTTAAAAACCCCTCTCTCTGCTTAATGGATCACACACACACACACACACACACACACACACACACACAGAGAGAGAGAGAGAGAGAGAGAGAGAGAGAGAGACTTATATACCTGGTGTTTTGTTGTTGGCTTGTTTTCCAATTAGAAGGTTGTCAATATAACCGGAATAATGATGCTCCTTCCAATAACAGTCAAATGGACTTATTAAGCATGTATTTAAATAATTAGGGCCACCATGGGAAGCTTTAATGTCAGGATGATCAATGTCAAATTATCTCTCCATTTATCAAACACCAACCTCAACACCTCATCCCTCCGCTCTACACACACACACACACACACACTCTTATCTCCATCTTCTATCATTTCTGTCACACATTCAGGGCAGTGTCTAGGCAGCATGACAGGAGCCAGAGACAAATGTCACAATATCCTGAGTCACTTTACCTCAGAAAAATACCACGACTGAATATGGAAACAGCTAAAAGGCATGTGGATTTCATTCACACTTTAAATAAAAATGAAGAATTTGGACTTAATGACTCCTTAAATTCTAATTATTTACAGTACCCAGCTAACAGGCAGGGGATGAGGACCAGGCCACAGGTTTTCAATTACCATTCAGGAGCACTGTGTGGCTCCGAGTTGCCATCACAATGAGATATTGGAAAACTTGGGGAGACTTGCTGGCCTACACGGTTCGCACACATCGCCATCTGCCTGCTGCCCGTGTAACTTCATTATTTCACAGCCAAATAAGTATTCTGCAGCCGCTTTGTGAGGGCTGGATTCTGAGACTTCAAAAAAAAAATCATTTTCCAATTTCCTCTCATTTGCACATCTTGTCGCAAAACACAGCCCGGGCAATCCCATCGATCCACCCATTCGTGCAGGTCTGTGGTATTGCAAAACATCATGCAGCACACACACACACACACACCACACACACACACACAGTGTAGCAGGGGAGGGGGGGGTTGATGATAAAATAAGGCAGATATGTGGCAGATGATTGCCTGCTGAAGTCTGATTTCTGCGGCTTACCTTGGACGTGCAGCGCTAACAGGAGTATCCACATCCCCACACACATCGCCATGGCTCCTCAACTATCCGGATCTTCTCTGATAACCTGAGAGTGGATGAACAAGGGGGGGGCTCACTCGTGACGACAAAGACCAAGCATGTAACTTCTGCAAATCCCACTTCGGCAACCAATCAGTCTACCTCCCTCGCTGAGCAGGACGAGACTTTGGCAAAACTAGAGGATCGGTGGTGCGCTCCGCCCGTACCAAAGCATCAATTTCACGTCTGCGGCGGATCCCCCCTTTGGCGAGCGGAGAGTTTGCACTAAGTAGAACCTGGCCGGGTCCCCCGAAATGAGATCCAGGCGGCTGCAGATTTGCCTTTATAGGTGATGGGAGTCTTTTTTTAGAGAGGCGAAACGAGAGTTGGGCTCTTATCAAAGCAGCTCTTCTAGTTTAACCATCTAGCCTTTGTTGCTCCATCCACCGCAGCGGCTGCAGAACTCTCTCTCTCTCTCTCTCCCTCTCTCTCTCTCTCTCTCTCCCCCTTCCAGGATTGTGGATCAGAGGTAAAGTGGGCGGGAGGTCCTCGATCGATGCTGCGCTGGGAAGTTTCCAACACTTGGAGAGTTTCTCCGGGTTAGGGGGGAGAGGGGGGGGGAAACGTCGCCTTTTTTTTTCTCTCTCCCTTCTTCCGTCTGCAGAATTGAGCCAGCACCTAACAGATAATCTGCTGGCACCGTCCCCGGTTTAGTTCCTTAAGTTCCCGGTTGTCCCCGTCTGCAGCCACGGCCAGCCGGTGAAGCACAGCACGCCAGGCCGGTGAAGTTGTTGTAACTCTGGAAATGGTGGGATGAGGCCCCCCCCCCGTTTTGTTTTTTTTCCAGTATTGGGTGAAACACAGTGAGGCTTTATCCCGCTATGCGCACCGCCCCGCTGATCTGCCACCACAGTGTGTTGCTGACTATCGCTGACGCTATGGGAGAGATCGGGATCGGGTGACGTAGTGCAGAGGGGAGGAGCCTGGAGTGTCCTGCAAAAAGCAAAAGCATCGCCTGGATCAGCCACAGCAGCCTGGTGGCCCTGTTGGAAGTGACTCAAAGTTTTTTTATTTATTTCTGGATCTGTAAAATGAACCCTCATGGAGCAGGACGCGATACAATCATTATCAGATCAAAACTCTGAGCTGGATAGAGGTAGATCCGTCGTGTATCGCTACAGTGTGTGGGGGGTGTGGGGGGAGAGGACATAGAGAACATAGCGTGTACAGTCATGTTAGGTGAAATAATGCGAATTGTGAAATGCCTCTCATATGTTGTAATCCCGCAGAGCCACCGAAACCAGGCTGAAAGGGAACAACCAACCAAGACTGACACTGTGGTGAACAAATGGCATTAAAGCCCTCAGATGTTGAGGAAGTTGTCTGAACCCCACTCTCATATCCACTGCTCTGTGAAGCAAAATGAAGGACAGTGTATTATGAATGTTTATTTTATTTAGCCAGTTTTTCCCATTCTTCTCCGAAATATAGATGCTCAAAATATAATTAAATAATAATTAAATGTAACTAATGAATGTCCTAAACAGCCACCGTACAGACAGGTGGGGTACAGGCAATGAAAAACAGCAACATTTATCAATTATTACATCATTTATTAAATCCTTTAAATTAGTGAGAGTATGTGGTATTTCTCATATGCAAGGGCACCATCAGGGATCCCCTCAATGGCCCCTGCAGCACTCCAGACCTCAAGTGAACCAAAAGCCTGACATAAGTCAGGGTGGGGTAGTGAAAGCTTAAATATGATCCAAATACAGTCATCCTTCCTCCAGGCAAAGTAACACTGGAGGAAGATGATGATCTTAGAAGGAAAAAATTACTTACCGAAGTAATTGAAAAATGTTCCTTAAGTCCTCAACTATATGTATGTGTGTGTGTGTGTGTGCATGGGAGGGAGGGGATGATGGGGGTGTCTATTTGACCTCATAAAGCAGCTGTGAGAGCGGACTGTACCCAGCCCCCCCTTTCTTTCCTTCCTTCCTACTCACTCTCTGGCCAGTTCATCTTTTTCTCCAGAAGCAACCAAACAGGATCAGGCTTGTGACTTTACTGCCTGTAAATGAATGGGAGGATGAATGTGATAACACTTCCCTCTTGTGGACAGTAGTTCTACAGATAATTACAATAGACCAGGACCAACATGGTTAATATTAAACAGTCCATTTTGCTGTTTGGACTTTGCAGGTTTGCATGTGGTCAAAATCCTGTCTTTGTTTGTGATTTACTATCAGCACCACAGAATTATCTGCTGAACAGCAAGAGAAAATTACCTGGCATGACAAAACAGCACTGGGCCAATTGGTTATTAGGGTCAGTGTAGTGTTTGGGGCACGGCAACATAAATCAAAGTGGAAAAGCACATGCACTATCCTTTCTAAGTGAAGGATGTGCTGTTAATAAACATGCCTACAATCCTGTTGAACGCAATAAAACCAGACTGGTGCATTCTGGGAGGATACAGATAAACTCCAGACTTGACATTTTGTTTTGTCAAATAGCTGCAGAGAAAAACAAAAGGACTGCTGTTTGAAATTCTGCACACTTACCCCAAAGTAATGGTTTTAGCAAAATGGAATCATGTCAACTGAATGTATTATGTATTTTGCAGCTGTAATGTATTACTGTCTATTGACTTTCCACTGGTTATCACGCAAGATAGCAGGAGTATTTCCCAGAGCTATGAATAAAATATACAGTATGAATTAACAATGTCAATTTTACATTATATTTTACCATTTGGAAGACAATCACTTTACTTCATAAACCTTGAAAGGTCAGTGCAGCAGCAGCCTAAGGGTATTGAGAGATGGGTAGTTTAAATTTGATCAACTTTGAAAATTTGGACAGCAGGAAGGGAACATAAAATACTCTCCTTCGAGGACAATTTCCTTCTGGGGATGACAATAGATCATCATGGGGACTTGACTTGGGAACCGAAGGGTCAGCCAGCATGGATCACACTATGGAGTGTGGACTGGTAGCTGGAGATGTGCTATTTCACCTCCTGGGTTCTGCCGAGGTGCCCTTGAGCAAGCTACCAAACCTAACTTCTCCAGGGCTCCCGTAGCGCCTCAACATGGCATCCCATCACTCCACCGTCTCTCATTTGCATGTTCAGGAGCCCTGTGTGGGTGCGATTGTATTTTGTGTAAACCATCAAGTGATCATTGGGGATTAATAAAGTTCATGTTCTTCTGTCTTCTTAACTAGTTCTCCAATGTGTTGCTCACTGGTCAGCAGTGGTTGCACCCACAGTGATCATCTTGGGTTGAAATCTTGGCGTCTTGACAAAAAGCTTCCATGCTCGGACAAACTTTCTGTGACCGATAATATCTAAAAAACTCTAGGTTTGCCTCTTGCCTTGGTGCATTAACTCCAATGCCCTCTTCATCGAGCGACCGAGGTTGTGATTGATTTACAGGCGAGCTGATGAAATTTGATACACTCGTTCTGAACTACAGCTTGCGCCAGAGCTGAAGGCGATGCCTGAGCCGCTGTGGAGATTTAGGAACTGTTCAGCATAATGAATATTTGGAGTTGCATAAGAAAAAGTAGCAATGGCTAAATCATAGGTTAGGCCCATTAAAGGTAACAGATGAAGGGTTTTCTGATTAATACATCAGTGTCAAATAAACGGTGATGATGCATTTCACTGCGGTGAGAAAGTAATTGATATTTTGCTGATGACAATGTTACTTATTAATTTATTTAAGAAGAGAGGCAATGTCGGTGCCAGTGGCGCAGCCAAGGAGTGGCCAGGGTGGGCCACAGCCACCCTGATATAATCGCTGCCCTTTTACGAGTCCCATATGCATAATATGCTTCTGAGTAATGAGTGCTGTATGCATAAAATATCTGATGTTTTACATTAGCTACTTAATTCATTTGAATCAATAATGTATATTTTTCATATACACAGCCTGACAAATTGCATAGCCAGCCAGCCATCAGTGACAGTCCGTCACACTCCGACCCCCTCCCCCAGCTTTTGGTCTTGGTGTGCCACCCCAAAATTTTCAGTCGCCCCATCTGGCCACCCCTATTTAGGATTTTTGAGTGGGTCACTGTGATAAACTAAAAAGTACTTGCTTTCAAACAGTACAGACAGAATATTAATATCCACAACAAATACAGACGTGACAACATGTTGAATCAGACTTCAAGCATTGTATTATCTTTCTTCTAATTATAAGATCTAATTAAGTGACTGTGTGACTTCATTTCTTTTATTTGTTCTTATTTTGATAAATAATCTCGAGGCTGATTTAAGTCTTCTTGTGCACAATTTAGGGGGGAATAAAAAGAAAATCTAATTCATTAGAATTGTATAAAAGTCAACAGGCAATAGGTCATGTAGAAAAACAACCTCACTCACTTACATTATGTCATATATCAATAACTATGACATAAGGTATGAGTCTAATCTGCTTCAGTCCCAAATTCTATCATCACCTAGGCCCGTGATGCGAACACTGATTTATAAAACACGACATCTGTCTTAGTGGTGACCTAATGTAAGCTGTCACCAACTTGCACTTGTGAGCACAAAAATTATGGCAGGACTTTGGCAAAGTGCTGATGAGCGAAACAGAATCCAGGTTTTCAGCAGTCCAGAATAGCATGAAATCTGCATTGGGCCTGACCCAAGTCTGTCTCCCTGGAGAGCAGACAACTCTTTTGATCCAGAACTGTTAGTTTCTCTGGCCTGAAAAATGTGAAATCTATGTCTCTGGCTCTCTGTATTTGTTCTCAACAATGAGGGATCTACAATGCGAAATCATATTGAATGTGGATCTTTTAATATATGAACATTTTACAAAAGATGATTCTGAGGCAGGGAGCAGACTTCATTCTGAATGCAGCATTTTAAAATCTGGAAACACAAAGACCCCTGCCAGGCTGCTCTTAACTGATTCCCCTTTAATACAGTGCAATTATATTGTTGCAAACAAATTACTGACCATTTAAAGTAATGACTTGACAGTGAATAGTAATTGTTTCAACCAAGAGGGTTAGGCTGGTAATGTCTTCAATCCATTCTCTATAGAAACGGCTGTAGAAAAAAAACACTTGAAAGTGTTCTTCAATTTCCCAGTCGTTGATAGATGGGAACAGGTAATAATATGTCATTTGTAGACATAAGTAGTAACATGACTAACACTGTCAGAGCCAAAAGCTCCCTACCAAACTAGACCACAGTGGTAACTAACTGTGTGATCCTGCCATTCTTACAACCAGTGAACCTAAAACACATAAAAAATGTCATGTTTCCAAAAACACACACACATAGCATAAGAAGGGAAAAGCCAACACTGCACTGTTTGAGGCAGCTAATCTCCTTCAGAGTAAACGCAAAGGTCTTATCAACCTTTTACAGTGTTTTTATTGACGGATTATTATCTTTTTCTTCAAATGTCCAATCAAAGGGACAGAAATTGGCTCTCTGGCATTATCAGCATGTGCTCCAAAATCGCTGTAAGAAGAAAAGAAGAATTCTTAGAGAGTTTAACTCTCAGTAGTAGGTCCTGAGAAAAGCCCAGAAAACATTAGATGACAAGTCATTCATGTTCCTCTCACCTGTGGTGCATCAGTGCTGGACAGATTGAAAATACCTCTGTGGCCAAAGATGAAAATTTAGATAAGATAGTTTATGAGGTCTCTAACAGTGGACAACGGTATGGTATTTCATATGCATTTGACATCAGACTTCTGCCCATGAAATGCACTTCAAAAATGCAAATGGGAACATCTGGACTATTCTATCTATCATGTGAACTGTACAATATATTGCATGTGTCATGTTTAATGTTGCTTGCATATTTAATGGAATCCCCTGAACTGTCCTTGATAGAATAAATAATGTTGTAATAAAGTTAAATGAATTGAAGTAAATTTAACCTTTAACAGGGCTTTGTGTGTTCCTC